GCAAACTTTTAAACACGTTCTCTTGTGATACCTGCGAAAGTTTTCAGTATAATTACCGGTAAGATTTTCGCGGACAATCTGATCGATTTCTCTTACATTGTGTGCTGAGACTGAAACTTTTCACCAACGGCAAAGCTTCGTCGCACAGCTCAAAAAATATCGCGAGCAATAGAGCTTCTTGTATATGTCCGTATTAAAACACACGAGAGGACTCCAAAGCACACTTCACTCTCATTGGACAGAAAAAAACAAAATTTTCTGGCACCAATCAGATGCCAGAACGACTACGACCGTTTTGAACTAGTCTCGTTAGACAATGTCCCCAGGGGCTCTTCTGTCCTTAACTTGAAATCGACTCACAGCTCCTGGGGTCTCCGAGGATGTACACTATCCAGCACACAGGTAACGAGAATACTCAAACTCATGATCAAGTAGACGTTGTGATAGAAAGTGCTAGTCATTGTGACATTTTGCTTAAAAGTTTGCGTATCGCTATTTTGTAGCCAGGTAGAAATTGTTCTCTTGATTGCATTCTCGTAACAAATTTACCAAGAAATTGTGTAGCAGCTAAATGGGAGAACTAACAATCATATCTTGGAAGTTTAAGAAAGAAATCAACAGCTTGAAAAGTCACATGAAAACAGCAGGAAAAATCGGTGTGTGCCACTATTAATAAGACAAGTATAACCTCTTAGTTTGACCAACTCACAATCCTGACTTATATTGAATACCAGATCGAGTTTTTATTCAATAATATTTAACAAATTGAATTTATTTTTTTGACACTCGACTGCACACAGTATTGAAATCTCTTTAAACATTTTCCCAACATAACTTATTTTCCTTACATAAAATATTCTTTTAAGTTAGGGCTCATGTTGTTTTAATGCTATAATGTGACAATAATACTGTCTATAATATAACTCCATTCCACCCATTCCAGTCGCCAAATTAGTGTGGGGCAAAAGTATGTCCTCCAATTAAAATAATTTGTCCCTTGGACAATCACACAAAGCGCTTTCAACCTCTGACTCGATGAAAAACAAACAAAAAAAAGACGTCAAAAATAATTTGAACATGCAATTACAAGAAAAATATCTTTCAACATGAAAACAACTTTCCTGGGGCAAAAGCATAGTTTTCGTCTTCTTAAAAACAGCTTAATTCTTGTCTTTTATAGCATGAACTTTGCATTTTGAAGTTCTGTTATCAAGAACAAACGTGAATCCGGACACGTAGCTTTTTTGGCAACTCAAAATGGCGCCTGTTTGTGATATCCTTACTGTGGAAATCGTTTCGACAGGCGAGGGTTTTCAGCTTCGCTTAGGCAGATATATTTTGCAGGAAATGATAATTGAAGACGACTATTATCTGATTATTTCACATAATTTCTTTCACTTGCGTTATATCTCCATTCATGTGAAAGTGTTTCAAGTCCTTTGTTTCTCCGTTGACGTAACCATTCTTTTTAATTCCGTTTTCCAGGTGATTGTGGATGTCTGCGACTCCATTTTGCTCCAGCGGTTGGTGAACTTCCCTTGAAAGTTTGTGTTCCAGCGTCATGTGATTCTGGGGTTTTAACCCAACGCATGCCCTGAAACAAATTTTAAAATATTTATAAAAAACATGGCCTTCTTTCACCTTTCGCCACAACATCGACAGCTCTGCAACACTGATTTCAAGGGATTATACAGCGAAATTTTGGGCAATCAAAGTTCCGCCGGTAAAGGCCATGATCGTAGGCCTGACTTGTAGGAGGCATAAAACAAAGTTACGAAACAAGCATTTACTAAAAGGAAATACAAAAGGGGGAAAAAAAAAAACATACTTTATCTTGATTGTGACTAGTGAAACATCACAAAGTGAAATCGCACTTTGACCTTCTGCCACAAAAGGTTACTCAAGGTTTCCGTAGTGATTCACGTAATTCCACGTGATCCGCGCACGACGTCACATGTGGAAAATCACATGCGGAAAATCACATGCAGCAAGCGAGACCGGACAAGGGATCTCTCTTGTGATATCAAGTTTCTGAAACGTGTTCCGCGCACGTGTGGAAAATCACATGTGACACGCGAGACCGGACAAGTGGTCTGTCTTGTGGTATCGAGTTTCAGTGAAAAACAGGTCTACAACCAGCTAACCTGAAAATGTTTTCGATGCAGCTCCTCTGCTTGAAGAGGGCGTTGACGACCGGGGTACCACTGGGAACTAACGGAGCCTTAAGAAGGTAACTAAGGAGAGAGAGGACTGGGTTGAACGACTGGAACTCTGGGTCATCTCCGACTTTAAACTTGATTCGCTCACAGACCTCACACAGGATAACCAGGTCCAAAATGATAGGTGCCGCTAGTAGAGAGTCCTGTGAAAGAAACAAAGGAGAGTTCGTTAAAAAAAGATAATCTGAAGCGAATAGTTTGAACAAACGTAGTTAAATCATTTATTCTACACCCTGATTAGACCTTGCCAGTTTCAACTGTTGAGAGCAATTTCTAAAATAACAATTATGAAGACCATTTCAACAAGGACAAAACTCGTTTCAAACAATAACTTCAACGGCTTGCAAAGCAGGCGTAATATTGTTGAGCGAATAATCAAAATTTTCTTGGTGAAAATTATAGCTGCCATCTTTAATATTTTACAGCAGAGGAAGGCTGGGGAGAGAGAGAAATTTGTACCAAGGGAGTGAGAGATGGTCAAAAGGAAGGAGAGAGGATGGGGTTGGTGGGGCTTCCGCATTCTCCCCCGCCGTCCACTTCAACTCTTAAATCGAGCATGGTCGGTCGAATAATTGAACGCGCGCTGGCAACGTAAATTCGACTAATAAGACGCTTGCACTGCTGGCAATAACTTCAATGTCCGCCTTTTTCATGTCTAAGGAGAATTTCATATTTTCCCACTTAAGTTATTTCTCCTTCATGACTCGCTTGATTGTGTTAAGTTTCGATAATAGCAATAGTCATTGTTTTAATCA